CCACAAATTTGAGATAACTTAGGATAAACATATTGATATCACCCATCATTTATTTGTTATCATCAAAACACATGCGAAGTGTGATTGAGTTTATATAGTCAACAACTAAGAATTTTGAACGTGCTCGTGAATAAAAACAATGCTTGAAGCAAATAAAAAAAATTATTATTGAGAAATTTATGTATCGTTTCTATTTAAGATAACCAAGTCAAAATGGAATCATCAATTTTTACAATTTTCTAGTGTTGTTCAAAGGACAGTTATGCTAGCCTCCATTATGCTTTTATCACCAACAACTTTCTCTTTTTTATCATCCCTTGCCTCTTTAATTGGTATAATATTGTCTCTCTTTAATAAATGCAAATTGGAGGAAGATTCACATAACATCCAAGCTGACCTCATTAGAGGGAAAGCTGAGTCAAAGTGGAGAACAAGTAAAACTAATCAACATCCCTTAATCTATCCCGAAAAGTATTGAAGGTGATATGGATTTGGGCATGTTAAGTTAGAATGCACAATCAGAGGGGTGATCTCTTTCGTTGAGCAGGATGTTCTTGAAATGGTGGGTAATGACATTGTAGATATTAAGATGGTGAGGACACAAAGGAATAGAACTAGCTTCCACTTGAAGAGGAAAGGTTGCACATAGTTCCAGCTGCGCCCGTGTGGAGACTTGAACCAACTTCACGTTGAGTGCCAAGACAGTCTTGAGTTCGAGGAAAACTAACGCCAAATGAACAAATACCAAAGATAAGAGGACTTTTGACCATTCAGATCTATAGAGGGTTTATTTGGGTTTGCTGCAACTTATCAATAAGCTGCTGAAAAATAATCTGTTGTTCAAAAAGCTGCGGTGACTATTATAATTTTTTTTTTTTTGAAAACCTGACCCAGATCGCAACTAGAAAGCTGCTGCCGCAATTAGCCAGAAACAATGTGAAAATGCTGATATCAGCTGTTTGAAAACACAACTTTTTAAATAATCTGTTAAAACACATTTTACCCAAACGACCTTGAGTGTGCTTTCAAAACACATGGCACCAAATAAGCAACCACAAACAGGGCCTTATTCTTGAATTGCTATTGTTGAGAGAGGTCCATCACATTAGAAATGGGACTTTTTTATGCCACATTGGGAAGACTACATGGAGTTATTTAGATGTTGGATTCAGTTCAACATAGTACCCAACATCAGATGTCCTCACATGAGGGATAAACCCCACCATTGAAATTTTGTC